GAGTTTTAGAAATTAGAAATTATGATGAGAGGAAGACAGAGACAATAAAAGCTGGAGGATGAGGTGGTGTGAGCCTGACTGATTTACTGTACAGAAGTTGGTGAAGACCTGGGCCAAGCAATATTAATTGAGCTTTTTGGGGTGTGTGTGGAATAGCTGTATGTAGTCTGCCACCATTATGATGATGTATCATTTCCTTAATGTCTCTTGAATGTTCTTGGAAATTTAATAATTAATGACGTCACTAACAAAGCAAAATTGATTTCTGACCACCTATTACATAATTGAGTTGGATCAAATTTATTTCAGTCTTTTCAGCCATTTGTATGCCTGTTCTCTATTATTAGATGAATTCATTTCTGCTTTCATAATTCAGAATGTGACCCAAGTATGTAAATTATCATGAAGCCTGGAATGTGGTGTTGCCACTGCATGAGTCTTCCCGTAAGTAAACAATGCTGGATAGCAAAAAAACTCAACTTTCAAAGCAATCCAGCAAACTGGTCATGCTAATTAAGAAATGTTCAAAATGTACAAGTCTAGCAAACAAGGAAGTTTTAGTTAACAAATGTGATTAACGCTTTCCTGAAGCAAAGATTACAGTGATTCGTTATTGCATACCATCTTGTTTAACCTCAACAATCTTTTAAAAACTTGTCAATTTTACTCCAATGAACAATGTGAACAGCTCTATCAGTAAGTGAACCTCATTTCCATTACACTGATTTTTTTTAAACTCCTCATTCTTTTACTCATAAGATTAGGTGGATATTTTATTTTCCCTGGTGTAATCCTGGGCAGGCTGAATGTCAGAACCACTCATCAACTTGCAAAGACCCAAGCCATTAAATTACACTGGTCACAAAATAATGGGTAAATAAAAAATGTGTTAAAAAAATAACATGCATGAAGCTACAACAAAAAATGCTTTAACATATAATTAATAGATTCTAAGGCAAGAAAGGACCACTGCGATCATCTAATCTGACCTCCCCAATAATACAGGCCATAGAACTTCCAAAATAATTCCTAGAAAAATATCTTTTTAGAAAAGCATCTGATCTTGATTTAAAAATGATCAGTGATGGAGAATCTACTATGAACATGTGGTAAATTGTTCCAACGGTTTATTACTGTTAAAAATGTATACCTTATTTCCACTCTGAATTTGTCTAGCTTCAATTTCCAGCTACCAGATCAGTTTATACCTTTCTCTGATAGATTGAAGAGCCTATTAAATATTTGTTCTCCATGTAGATATTCACAGACTGTAACCAAGTCACTCCTTAACCTTTCTTTTGGTAAGCCAAATAAGACTCTCAGAGCTCAATCTATCACTATGAGGCATTTTTCTAATATTTTAAGCATTCTCATGGCTCTTCCTGAACCCGTCTCCAATTTACCAAATCTTTCTTGAATTGTGGGCACTAGAACTGGTCACCGTATTCCAGCAGCCATCGTACTAGTGCCAAATATGGTGGTAAAGTAACTTCTCTTCCCTTACTTGAGATTCCCCTGTTTGTGCATCCCAGGATCCCATTAGTTCTTTTGGCCATCGTGTCACACTGGGAGCTCATGTTCAGCTGATTATCCACCACAACACCCAAATATTTTCAGACTCTCTGCTTCCTCGCATAGTCCTCCTCCTGTAATTATGGCCCATGTTCTTTGTTCCTACATGTGTACATTCACATTAATCCATATTACAAAGCATAATGTTTATGCCCAGTATACCAAGTGATCCAGATCGCTCTGAAACAATGACCTGTCTTCTTAATTGTTTACCACTCCCCCATATTTTTGGGTCATCTGCAAACTATCAGAGCTGATTTAGTGTTTTCTTCCAGATCATTAATAAAAATATGAAAAAGCATAGGGTGAAGAACTGATCCCTGCTGAAAACACATCTGTTTGATGATGATTCCCTATTTACAATTACATTTGAAGACCTATCAGCCAGTTTTATATTAATTTAATGTGTGCCATGTTAATTTAATATCATTCACGTTTTTTAATAAAAATACTTCAAATAAAACTTGTATTCAGTCATTCTAAAGAGTAAATATCTCATATGGAAGGTACAGTGTGGCTTTTGAATAACTGAGAAATGGAATGGCATGATAATGCAAAAAGCAGCACACAGACAGGAATTTCAGTAATTGTGGGGATGTCCTTTAAACTGAAAGATACTCTCTGATAAGCTGGAAAAGTACATTATTTTTATCCAAGCTGTCAGTTTGTGGTGGTTCTAAAAGCTATGATTACCCAACCGGGTCCTCATAACTCCCTAAAAAAAATTCAGATTGCATTTAGAAATGTAAAATGGTGTTCAATATCCATTAGCATTCATATTAGAGAATAAAAATGAGGTGCTTCAGACCTTCTGTTTGGTCAGAACTGTCCTATATCAGTCATTTAATGAATGCCATGTGCATGCCATACAGTATCTGTTGCCACCAGAAAACCATTCACTTCAGTAAAGCTTTGCCATGGCTTGTTTGTTAATTAAATAGTAAATGTTCTTGCATCAAAAGTACACTGAATACTTTGTTTTTTAGAAATTAAGATAATGAGCTTAAAATGCGCTGCTCCAATGAACAATTTTAGCCTCGGTAAAGTCTAAGAGCCCAGTAATAGCATACAAGCAGGCAATCAGCATTAAGCATTTTAACCATATTTATAAGAGCCTTTGAAGCTGATCTGTGATGGGTGACTGAAATGAGAGAAATTGAGATGATAATGCCTTTTCACTCAGGCTGCAGGAGCAGCAACCTCTTAATGATTCCTGGCTGAAGACGTGTTAGCAGGTGGGCTGTATGGATGGGGAAATACTATGAGATGCCAGCCATTCCAGCCTACAGCGGATTAGGAGGTAAGGCTCATCCCATGGTGTCCTCTCATTAATGCTTGCTCTGCAACTCTACTGTGCCTATTCTAATTTAGGAAGGCTGCTTCTCCTTTCCCCAACCATTGGGCCATGCTACAGGTCCCTCCTCCATCCCACTAAATTTCAGGCTCAGGTATGTTACAAGTGCACCCATAATTTCCCTTGTGCACCCCGCTTGGTTATGTTCCAGCTCAGTCTCCTTCCTCACAAACAGCTCTTCTACAATTATACTCTCTTCCCTCCTTTCCGTTTTCTCCAACACCCAGCCTATCTATAGGTGGTCACCTAGAGGTCTTAATCTCCCCTTTGTGAGAAGCCACAAAACTGGCTAGGCAGGTGTGTGCGTGTGCGAGAGAGACTGCCACAAAAATCAATGGTGAGAGTTATATTATACTAGTTATAGTAATGATGTCTCGCTCCCCCTAGGTTTACTTATTCTTATGCTGACATGAAATCTTTATCTGTTGCATTCTTTAATGTTTTTTAGAGGCAGTACCAATGAGTTAAAAAAATATAGACACTCTTGAAGTCCTCTGAACTTGGAATTTTGACATTTTTGCTGGTTTGTCAATCCTTTAATATATATAAATATGGTTATCAATAGACTAATTTTCCATTGCATCCCAAGTTAACTTAGAACGTTTCTTAATATGGATTCTAACAAAGAGCCTACCTAAAAATAGCCTTTATGCAAAGGAATCCCCACTGAAAGGGTGGAAATATGAAACAACACAGGATCAAAGGAATAAAGCTTACAGGATTCTTGAGTTATGCAGAGTTTAACTGAAATAGATTAATTTATGCTAGCACTCTACATACTTACATGGGATGGTTCTCAGGTAAAGATTGTCTCTGATCACCTGTTGGAGTTTATGGTCTATTGAGCCTTTCTGGAACTGCAGGCTCAGGTAGTGACGCAAGTCTTTGTTGATCACTTTTCCTTTAAAATATAAGAAAACAATATAATGAAAAATTTGCAAAAAATATTTAAGATAATGCTCATACCAACTAAACTACATTTCACTGCAGTAAACATCTCTGCAAAATTTAAAATAGAAAGGAAACTACAAATTAGTTTATTCAAAAGCACTAGACTAGATAGAAAAGCTGCATGCTCCCGGGGCCAGATCCTCAGCTGATGTAAATTGGTATAGCTCCACGGACTTAAATTAAAGTCAACAGAGCTACGCTGTTTTATAACCAGGCTGATGATCTGGCTCCTGGATTTCCACCAGTCCTGTTGACACTGAACAAGAGTCCCAGTGACAAGATTCAGCCCTTTTATGCAGGACAGATGAAATGTTAAGACTTTCAAACTTCACTAAAAGTTAAGAGCAGAATACTTTTAGCCAACCCATATTTATGCGTCAAAGAACATGTAAGCCCACGAAGAAGCATAAGTGCAACATCAATCTTAGTGTTGTCTGCTGCCGAGAGTAAGAAAAATATAGGTGAAGTACTAAAGTGCTGAGAATTACTGGCCACAACCGATGTGATGCTGGCTAAGGACTATTGAATTTCCATTTATGGGAATGGATAGAACGAGCAGAATGGCCCTGGAACTGAACAACAGCATACAGCCTATAGTTTAATGAGAGACTACTGCAGGATACCATACAAAAAATATTGGCAAACTGGGCTTTTTAAAAAAAAAAATCACATCTTATAGTGCTTTTAACTGCTTCACATGCAGGTAGTGGAGAGTAACTGTACAATCCAGGTATGTGACTACATACTCAACTCCGAACCCAGCTGGAGATTAAATGTTGCCTGCATCACCAATGTGCTCATCACTAATCAGAAAATCATGTAAGGTTGTATTAATCCACAAATAATAAAGCCAGACATTTTATTTTAAATTTGTAAACTGTGTCAGGAAGTCTTAAAATTATTGTTTTGATTTGCAAGCTTTTATCTTGCATCCTTAGATTTAGCTTATTTCTTAAAATATTTGATTTATTGATTTATAAAAAAAATGGATTTACAAACCCTGATGAAAGTTTACAAATCCCACTTTGGAGCCATAAATCCTATTACAGATTTGCAAATTGAAAGAAAATAAATCCAAAATACAAATTTTGGATTTACAAATTCTCACAGGATTCTAATGACTGTTCTGTAAAGCCTGTCCTTATCAGGTTTAAAATCTAACATTTGAACTAAGTCCCTACAATTAAAAACTGCATGTGCGCTTCAGCAACAGTTTCTTATTTTGTACTGGGAGATGCCACGTGCACCCAACCAACCAGTGACTTTCAAAGCCCATAATTCAAGAGCTACCCATTATTGCAGTACAGTGGTCAGCTCAAACAGTTAAAAGTAGAACAGCTCCACCAAAGTTGGAAGCACAACAAAAATGTGAACTGTCATCATAGTGATTCCATTTCAAAATTCCTGACAGAATATTTGTCCCAACCATGACAATTAGGGGTGTGTGAGAAAATTGAATACAAAGTTAGAGATCACCTGAAATTTAATAGATCAAATCATTTGCAACTAGAGACTGTTAACTAACTATGTGCTCTGCCTACCTGTTTTCGGTATCTAATGGAATAACTAGCATATGGACTAAGGATCTAACTACTGTAGTCTTTATGCTTCTGACAGATTACAACAATGGCACACATTAAAAAAAAGCGCTGTGGTACAATAAAACCCATTTCTTCCCCCACTTAAAAGGTCATTAGCTTTTTACTGTGCAAATGGATTTTTCTGGAGCACCTTCTACTGACTTATCTAGGTTGACAGACTTTTTGCAGTTTAAAACATAAAAATGGTTAAGATAAAACTATGTTTAGAAATAATTTAAATAATTAACGCTCTTTCTATAAGGTATTGTTGCTGTATTTGGCTGCTGCAATTGAGAAAAATCACATCTTAATAATCAGAGTAGCGAAATATAGAATAATCAAGAAAATCAGCTAGTCAAGTTAATCATGAGGGACAGCTGTTTTGTAACAGAGTGAGCTCAGGTCAGGGAAAAAGAACTCGTGTTCCATCCCTAATTCTCATCATCACTGACTAGATCAGTGGTTCTCAACCAGGGGTACACACGCCCCTGGGATACACAGAGAAGATCTTTGTACATCAACTCATCTAGATATTTGCCTAGTTTTACAACAGGCTACGTAAAACGCACTCATGAAGTCAGTACAAACTAAAATTTCATACAGACCATGACTTGTTTATACTGCCCTATATACTATACATTGAAATGTATAGTACAATATTTATATTCCAATTGATTTATTTTATAATTGTATGGTAAAAGGGAGAAAGTAAGCAATTTTTCAATAACAGTGTGCTGTGACACTTTTGTATTTTTATGGGTGATTGTGTAAGCAAGTAGTTTTTAAGTGAGCTGTCACTTGGGGGTACACTAGACAAATCAGACTCCTGAAAGGGGTGCAGTAGTCTGGAAAGGTTGAGAGCCACTTGACTAGATGTGTCACCTTGAGTCACAACCACTATGCCTGTGTTACACCACTTGTAAAAAGGCAATAATATCCCTGAAAAGTGCTTTGAGATCTATAGCTAGGATAAGAAAGTGATGTTAAACTGCAAAGTATTACATTACAATTAAATAAATATCTGTTGATCGAACCATGCCCCAAACCCCATTAAATCAGGCAATGATAACACTTCCTATTGGAAGTAAGCAAACAGGTTATGCATCTAAACTAGATCAATTGTCAAATGGGATCCTGCATTCGTGGTGTTTCAAGTAAAGTATTATGTTACAGGAAGGTTCTTTACAATTATTCCTTTGTGACACTCCTGTCAGGTACCATTAGCAAACCTGTCATATTGCCAGATAACCACTGCCCCTCTAGCACACAAATAACTGAACCCTTGTTTTACTGCTTTATCCCTCTGACAGAAGGGTACAAAGCAATCTATTGTACGCTGTCATCTTCAGAGAAAGCACACTCACTTGGGTTCAGTGAGCTTTGCAAATTAAAGCTATGTACTTCATCAGAATGTCCAAATCTTAAAGTGGAAGAATTTTAATGATCATTTGTTTTCAAAGGGCTATAAAAAGGATGGCATATGGAGATATATGGCAGAATCACAACTTGTACTCCTAAGTTTCTTTGCAACTTACAGTACAGAATATATACCTCTGGACCTAGTAATGTCACCAGCCAAACAATACATTAGATGATAAATAAAATTAACTCTTTAGATTATAAGGGAGTAAATGTCGTATGTGTTGTACAGTGCCAGCCCAATGGGAATCTGATTCGGGGCCATAAGGTTCTGCGGCAATTAGGGCTGTCGATTAATTGCAGTTAACTCAAGCGATTAACTCAATAAAATTAATTGCGATTAAAAAAATTAATCGCGATTAATCGCACTGTTAAACAATAGAATACCAATTGAAATTTATTAAATATTTGTTTTTCTACATTTTAAAATATATTGATTTCTATTACAACACAGAATACAAAGTGTACAGTGCTCACTTTATATTAGTTTTTATTACAAATATTTGCACTGTAAAAATGATAAAATAAATAGTATTTTTCAATTCACCTCATAAAGGTACTGTAGTGCAATCTCTTTATTGTGAAAGTGCAACTTACAAATATAGATTTGTTACATAACTGCACTCAAAAACAAAACAATGTAAAACTTTAGAGCCTATAAGTCCACTCAGTCCTACTACTTGTTCAGCCAATCGCTAAGACAAACAAGTTTGTTTATATTTACAGGAGATACTGCTCCCTGCTTCTTATTTATGTCCCCTGAAAGTGAGAAGAGGCATTTGCATGGCACTTTTGTCACCAGATATTTATGTGCAAGATATTTATGTGCCAGATATTCTAAACATTCGTATGCCCCTTCATGCTTCAGCCACCATTCTGGAGGACATGCTTCCATGCTTGTGATGTTCATTAAAAAAAATAGTGTGTTAATTAAATTTGTGGCTGAACTCCTTGGGGGAGAATTGTATGTCTCTTGTTCTGTTTTACCCGCATTCTGCCATATATTTCATGTTACAGCAGTCTCGGATGATGACCCAGCACGTTTGATTTACAAACTCGACCCAAGGTTTAAGAATCTGAAGTTCCTTCCAAAATCTGAGAGGGATGAGGTGTGGAGCACGCTTTCAGAAGTCTTAAAAGAGCAACATTTCGATGCAGAAACTACAGAACCCGAACCACCAAAAAAGAAAATTATCTTTGTTCTGGTGGCATCTGACTCTGATGATGAAAATGAACATGCATTGGCCCGCTCTGTTTTGGATCGTTATCGAGCAGAACCCATCTTCAGCATGGACGCATGTCCTCTGGAATGGTGCTTGAAGAATAAAGGGACATATGAACCTTTAGCGCATCTGGCACGTAAATATCTTGTGACGTGGTTACAACACTGCCATGCGAATGCCTGTTCTCACTTTCAGGTGACATTATAAACAAGAAGCGGGCAGCATTATCTCCTGCAAATTGTAACCAAACTTGTTTGTCTGAGTGATTGGCTAAAGTAGGACCAAGGAGACTTGTAGGCTCTAAAGTTTTATATTGTTTTGTTTTTGACTGCAGGTTTTTTTTGTACATAATTTTACATTTGTAAGTTCGACTTTCTTGCACTACAGTACTTATATTAGATGAAATGAAAAATACCATCTTTTTTTACAGTGCAAATATTTGTAATCAAAAATAAATATAAAGTGAGCACTGTACACTTCGTATTCTGTGTTGTAATTGAAATATATTTGAAAATGTAGAAAACATCCAAAAATATTTAAATAAATGGTATTCTATTATTAATCGTGTGATTAATCACACCATTTTTTTAATCGCTTGACAGCCCTAGCTGCAATACAAATAAACGACAACAAGACAGTAGACAACCACTACTACTACTACAACAAGTAGCATGGAAAACAGGATTTCAAGGGATATTTTCCAAAACTAATATTTTTGAATCCCTATT